CAATCCCAATTACATCAGCTAGGCACTCAGCTCTAAGGATGTCACTGGGCCTTTGTTTGGACACAGTCAGTGCAAAGGTGCCAAGTTAGTTCGTTTTTCAGACTAATGAGTTCAGACAAGTTAGCTGTTTTTTCCTACTTTGGCACCTACTTATAAGGCAGGCTTTTGGATGGCTCACTTTTCATAATCAAGTCATACAAGTGAAAAGTGGTTATTTAGAAGTATTTAATTTGTATTTCTAAACCTCTAAAGCTTTAAAACAAAAAACATAGCAGAAAAAAGGCATCGAAGTTTCTGTAAGGTGACTTCTAGCAGATCTTTCAAGAGCAGTCCATGAGTGTCCGAAGAGATCCAAAAATACATTAATGCCATCACAGAGATGGGAGGGAAGGATATTAGCCCAAGTTACTGATGTGATAAACTAAGAGTTGCACAGAGCTCCTACCATTTAGCAGTCACATGTATCATGCCACACTACTGGAGTGTGACACTGAAGGCCTGAAGTACTGGGAAATCACCACAAAAAGAGAGTTAGCATTGAGCTTACAACGAGCAAGTGACAGAACTGAGAATGCTTTGAAATGTTTGCGTTACAATCCTTGATTAGCACGGAGAACTGCCTTTAACATACAACTTTGTTTGTACTGTTTTTTTTTTTTTTACTGTATCAGTTAAACCAAACGTTGAACATTTCAAAAAATTTTAAAAATAAAAATTAAATTAAATAATCTGCTTACTTTATCTGCTCTTCTCTCCTTTGGAATGGTCACATATAAAACATAGTAGCAAAGGAAGAAACTCAGACTTTAGAACAAATATAGACCATCCTTGCTTTTCTAACGCTGACAATATTAATACCATATTATATAGCTGCTGCTATTACATGAAGAAAAGTGATCAGTAGTACTCTGAAGCAAAGTATGTAGCAGACAAGAGAAGGGTCAAAACCAGAAAATTAGATGTTCAAGATATTTGAGCAGAGAACCATCTAGTGCTGGGAAACCATGAAATACAACAGGGAAAAATCCCACCCAGACTTCCTGATGAGACAAGAGGATGAAGGGACACAGTGTGGGCGCAGCCTGCATTTCATGCTACTTTATGACTTCACCTTGGCTTCACAAATATTTGAAATCCTCAATCCCGGACCTACACAAGGCAAACTCCAGAGATACAATAAGACTGAATGGCAGACACAAGACAAGCTTTACCGCACCTCATGCTCCTTTCTCTGACCCGGTAACCCTTCTCTGAAGAAGTGAAGCCAACCAGGGAGGTATTAAAACCTTGGGCACCATCTCAAGCACCCAAGAGATGATGACAATGTTAAGCTATGTAATGGTGCCATCTCGTGGTAATAATAAAGATGACGCTGGATCGACTGCACATTTTCAATAGTACGCTACAGCCATTGTGGCCATTAAAGACAACACGTTAAAACAGATACCTCTTAATTCTTCCATGTCGTTTAAATTTTACAGTGCATGTTCACCATTAAGACACTTACAAGAACAAAAGAACCCCATGATGATTTACAACCACAGGTTGCATCCCCACACCGAAAGAATCTTGATAGTACCAGAGCCACAGCTCAGCATTAAACAGAAAAGCAAAATCCATCATGGGAGACAAAATGAATTCAGACTAAAAAAAATCAGGTGCACTTGTAAACACGAAACTTTACAACAACTTGCCAAGGAATATGGCAGATTTCCCACCGCCCAACATCTGAAAATCAAAACTCTCACATCAAAACAATCTTTCTAAAAAATGGGTTGTTTCAACCAAAACCAATGATTTTTGATATAGCAACCATGCATGAAATTATCTGGCTTACATTATGTGAAACATCATGACAGATTAATGTAATGAAATTTCTAGCCTTAAAATCCATATGTTTACTTTTCTTGAGAGCGATTCAAAAAACTTTATTAGTTGGCACACACCCACCAAGACCGCTGCTAACACTAATGTTGATGTCTAACATCTCACTTGTAGGCCAGACTTAAGTGCCTATGCTTATAGGAACAATAGGCACAAATTTCCTCTCATCAGGTCTTCCATCTCTCATGCACACACACTTACCTTCTTGTCTCCTAAGCAGAAATACCAACATGTCAAGCCACAACCACCAAAGTGTAGATTCAGAGAGCGATTAAATCCAAAGTTTTGAAAACTTAACTCCAAAAATTGGAATGCCTTTCAAGCCTTTGCCAACTTTTCCAGCACTCTGAAACAATCCTATCCTTGAGTAAGTGCAGATTTCTTTTAAATAAAAGAACTTTCACTGGGAGGAAAAGATGTTTTTGCTGTTGGTGGTGTTGGTTTTTTTTTTTCCTGATATGTTCTATTAAGATAGTGAAGATATTGGATCTGTTTCTGCTTCAGACCCTCTTAGGATTCTTGTGGTCTCACTAAGAAGCAATTCAGACTGCCAAGAATGAGTCACAGGTCCAAGCTTCCAAACTAATCAGATACCTTAAAGCACTAATATAACACACCAAAAAAAAAAAAAAAAAAAGAAAGAAAGAAAATCAGTATCAGACTAATTGTTCTGTAAGTCAGCATTTCAGAAATAATATGGAGCAAGCCTGTGTCTTCCTGCAGCCTGTAGTCCAGGAGATTAGTACTGTTAAGTAGGACCTTAGAACTCCTGGCTCTGGTTCTTTACTGGATATAGATAATAGGCAAATGTCTGTATCCTCTTATTCTACTGCTTCTGCTCGGTATGTTTCATTTGCCAGGCAGGGCAGATGAACTGAACATAGAACATCCCTAATTGTCACAAGTTTTGATTAGAAGGATGATGTGATCACTTTCTTTGATTAGAAAGTACCAAGCCATCTGCCAACACCATCTCATCAAATGCACCTTTGCTTACTTCTATAATATGCCCAGTTGCCATCGTAAGCATTTTTGATGAAAAAGCATGACTTAGAAAACAAAAAAGCTAAACATAATCAAGGAAGACAATTCTTACACAGAGGAAAGACGACTGTGAGAACAGTCAGTAAAGTGGCTGTTAATGCAGCCAGTGGATCACTGAATAACAGAGATATAAAACAGAAATTCAGTTTGGGGATATTGAAAAATTGCTGTTTTTTCCTCTGATTCAAAGTGTCCCTAGATATAGAATGAATTTAATCAAATTAGGTGTCTGCCCATTCCACATGCAGTACCTTATCCATCTTCTTCATTCTAATACAAATTCATATGGAGTTCCTTGGGGCCTTCTTAGGTAAAATTTTCTTAAAAGACTTAAATCAGATCAAACTTAATAGTCCCCACTTGCTGGACCAACTCCAGTTTACCTTACCTTGACAATTACAATATAGGCTGTTAGGTTCAACTAGACATGAGGATAGTCTGCTAGGCTACTGCAACTGCAGAATCAGCTTTTCTGAGGGGAGAAACAATCATTTTCTATCAAACTTAGGAGCAACTGGTATTGTAACTCTTCACAAGTATTGTATTTCTTAAAAAAGGTATGTATTTAACCATAAATTAAGTAAGAACGTAGGCTGCTGCACAGAAGGACACACAGTTTCTAGCAGTCTTTATAGCATGCCCTTTGTGACTTGATGAAATCAACAACATGAAGATCAACCGATTATAAAGCTAGTCCTAAATACATTCTCTTTGAGACAAGAGAACCATAGCAACATGGTTAAGGCTGGCACACAATTCAGTGTTTTAATTCTCTTGGCAAAAACTTCTAGGTTCCAATTATAGCATTTTTTTAATTTATTTTTTTTTAAAGAGATGCCTAGAAAGGTCTGATTTTGATGTGTCTCAGGCATATGGTTTACTGAGCAGCTCAACAGGGGAGGAGTTACTTGGATACATGAATAAATGCTGTGTTAAATCACAACCTTAAACAAAACCAGGGCAACAGGGCTATGCCTGAGCAATTATGCCATGCAGGGGAAAAAGTATACATCCCTACAGTGTATCTACAATGCCTGCCTACAGAACCGTGTCCCTGGAAATGTTGGATTAGGTTCTGGAAAGAAATAGCTACCTCGCCTTGTTCCAAGGCACCCACTTAAGGAATTACAGGCTGGGGGATCTATTCAGGTTCATCAAGACACTTCTGCTGTTCACCACTGAGCCGACCTCTTTGCAGAGCCTTCTCTGCCACTGGACTAAAGATCTGATCCTTAAGAGTTTCACCTGTAATCATTAATACAACATTCAAGCTTCAGAAATTCCCCACTAAAAAAATATAAAATTCTAGTACAGCACCAGCTTGTGGTGAAAGAACAAAATTTCTTTACCAAGCCATAACATGAGTAATCTAGTGAAATATGTTACACTTCCAAGTTAATTAAATGCAAAATGTTACAAAGAGCCTACAGGAAATAAAACATACAATATGTAATCTACACAAAGTTCTACACCCTGAACTTACACGTAACGTGATCACAGTGCCTGAATTTGAAGCCAGTTTAAGGCCCGTAGCTTGCTCACTCTTCTTCTCTGTACCAAACTTTTTCTGCATTAATGGAGTTTGTATGCCATTCTGTCCACCACGGGGTTTGAGGCAGATTTTTCTGCTAGAAAAATTCAAACGAAAGCAATTCAAGATCAGTTGTTCTCTTTGAAAGGAAGGTTACAGCTGTCATTCTGATACCAATGTGTGTTGCGGTATCTCTCTTCCATAATGCAGGATGTGGTTTCCATAGAAATATCTTCTTACATCAGTATCTACAAGCCCTCCAATTATTCCCTTTTGGACATCTCATGCAATCCAATAAAATCTTTTCAGAGCAGGGAAATAATTAGGCTCAACTACTACTTAATTACTCGGTGAGAAGAAGAAGAAAAGGACAATTAGCAAACAAAAGCTTTATTTAAAACAAATCACAAGATGGAGAACATGTGCCTTGCAAAAAACATTATATCTTACCTGAAGAAATCTCTCCAGCATTACAAATTATGAACAGTCAATTACAATTTTTAAGACCATACTGAGATTTTGCCGATTTCTGAAAGTGCAGTTATGGTATAATTCTAAATTTTTTGGTCGCCTTGTCTCCAACTAAGCCCCCAGGGCCTGCTCTTTTTCTGAATCCTTTGCATTGCTGAGTATTGCCTGCACCTTGTTCCAAGTCCTCTTGTTCAGGACCCTGTGAGTTTAGAGTCCCTGCTGCTGCTGTGTCATCTTTTTTTTCTGTGGAATCTCCTGCCACTTTCCCAATGTCAGGAATGTATTCAACGCCCTGAAATTAGAACCAAGACAGAGGGAACACCAAATTACACACAAACAACATAAACAGTGACTTGATCCTAATGTAAAATGCCTCTGCCAACCCAGGCAACCATAAACATGCAAGGCAAGAAACTTAGCTGCATTGTTTGTATAGTTCACAGAAGTGTCAGCATAAAGAAAACTGGGGGTACACAGAGCCTTGATCTGGCTGGGTGGGCTCTGAAGCCATGACCACAGCGCATAACGCAAGAGCGTGCACCACAGGGGCCAGTGCTGTCATAGCTCCCCAGGAGACCCATGTCTGAAGAAAACAAACTGATTTAATTGTGCGGCAACCAAAATGTGCTGGGGAAACAACCCCTACAGCTCTTTGTATTGCTTCCACTCGTCTCTCCTTTTTTTTTAATTACTTGGAAAAGCTTAATTACTGTGATTTGTTTTCTGAGATACATGTTCCCCTAACTAGGTTTAGGCTTCATTCAAACCTCTCAGCCTGTTTTAGGCCTCCATCCTGCAAAAAAGCTAAGCACAGTCAGATCCACAGCTCAGTAGTGGGATAAATAATTACGACCATAAAGAGCTTGGCTTACTCATTCTAAAGGTGTCACACTCAAGCCCCTGTTTAGGCACAGGAAAAAAAAAGAAAAAAAAAAATCACAGTTCAGTTCAAAAAGTCGTTGCATACACCAACTTTGGAATTCGATGTTTTCCAGCTTGGTACAGTTTCCTTATCTCTGTAAAGATCAAACTAAGACATTCAGCGAAAACGATCCTGTAGTCTTTAGCCTTGGAATTCGATGTTTTCCAGCTTGGTAAAGTTTCCTTATCTCTGTAAAGATCAAAGACATTCAGCGAAAACTATCCTGTAGTCTTTAGCTTCTCAAACTACCACAGCTATATAAATTAGCTATATGAATCAATTATATGTGTACATTTATTTATTAAACAGCTATGATTACCTACATAAACCTACAGGTCAGTAGTAAAACACACCTATAGTTGTCTGTGATGGTCTCTCATATTTAAACCTCACTACTTCACTAAAAAGGAAAAAGGCCACCAATGAAAAAGAAAGTCACAAAATAGGAAATTAGTCACGGTACCTTATTCATCTGATCCACATCTGATTGTCTGGGTTTACTCGTTTGCGCATTCTCCATGTTTGAGCCTACTTCAGTCTCTGGAGAAATGGGGTGACCAGTTTTGCCCCAGAAAGAGATTAAAAAGAAAAAAATATTAGAAGACTTCCATGGCAATTTTAACTTTAAAAACATGCCAGAAAAAGGCACCTGAATGCCACCTTCAACCCCTCTTCTCTTCTTTTGTTAATTAACCAAACCAGGGTGCCTGATGACACTACCACAAAAGACTAAGGTGAACAACTCTACTAGAAACAAAATGTCTCTGTGTCTTTCTTGGCTTGAAGGTTCTGCTGAATAGATAATCCATTCATCTCTTATACCCAGAAAACCCATACCCCTTCCTCCTTTTCAGAAAATGCAAATACCCTGACCAATTCAGATAAAGGATTATAAGCAATCATTTGAAATTGATTTTAACTCTTGCTCAATCTGGTTATCTTCTGCATTAGCTTCACATTTACATACTTTATGTATATTACTAAACTACTTCAAAACAGCTCAGTTCACTGCCTGGTAGATTTAGCAACTAGGATCAAATCACCTTAAATTATTTCTGTTCCTCCAATCAGCCCCAGAAGAGAAATATCACTGTGTTCCTGTTACTATTTACTGTAAATAAATCTCTTCATTCTTCAAACAATAAGAATTAATTCAGAATGAACAATTGGAACTATGTGTTTCAACACGCTAAGCAGCTTTGTTTTTATAGATACCGGTATCTATACATGTATATATACACATGTATATGTACATGCAGACAGATGTATGTGTGAATATATATGTCTATGCATCCACGCACATCCAAATTGAAGTATCAGTTGAAGTAAACAGAGTGCTGCAGTTTATTTGTACTGCCACTAGATGCAGCCACATAACCTTGCAAAATTTAAAATTCTGACCTCAGGGTTATAGAAATCTTTTTTGGAATATCTATGATAGCAGAATTCTTACAACGACATTGATAGTGTTCAAAATCCTGAGTACAGGAAAAAAAAAAAAACTTAACAGGAACAGAATTTTCAATTTTTCTTCTCAATAATTTTGTTCCAGAACATAGCACTGTAAATGTCGATGGGGATCTACGAAATAAGAGCAGAATATGACTTGTCTATTTTCATGATTGTTGCCATAGATCCAGATTGGAGCTGACAATATTGAATTACATTGTGTTTTGCTTTCTATATAACAGAGTAAGTAGGAATGAAACACTATATTCCCAAGTGAGCCCCTAAAGACAGAATCATAGAATAGTTTGGGTTAGAAGGGACCTTTAAAGATCATCTAGTCCAACTCCCCCTGCCATGAGCAGGGACATCTTCAACTAGATCAGGTTGCTCAGAGCCCCGTCCAACCTGACCTTGAATGTTTCCAGGGATGGGGCATCTCCCACCTTTCTGGGCAACCTGGGCCAGTGTTTCACCACTCTCAGTATAAAAAATGTCTTCCTTTTATCTAGTCTAAATCTACCCTCTTTTAGTTTAAAACCATTATTACTCCTTGTCCTATTGCAACAGGCCCTGCCAAAAAGTTTGGCCCCATCTTTCTTATAGGCCCCCTTTCGGTACTGAAAGGCAGCAGTGAGGTGTCCCATGAGCCTTCTCTTCTCCAGGCTGAACAACCCCAACTCTCTCAGCCTGTCCTCATAGGAGAGGTGCTCCAGAGCTCTGTTCATTTTTGTGGCCTTCCTCTGGACCCACTCCAACAGGTCCGTGTCTTTCCTGTGCTGAGGACTGCAGAGCCGAACGCAGTACTCCGGATGGGGTCTCATGAAAGTGGAGTACATGGGCAGAATCACCTCCCTTGACCTGCTGGCCATGCCTCTTTTGTTGCAGCCCAGGATACAGCTGGCTTTCTGGGCTGTGAGCACACATTGCTGGCTCATGTCCGGCTTTTCATCCATCAGTACACCCAAGTCCTTCTCCACAGGGCTGCTCTCAATCTCTTCATCCCCCAACCTATATTGATACTAGGCATTGGCTCGACACAGGTGCAGGACCCTGCACTTGGCCTTGTTAAACCTCATGTTCAACACACGGGCCCACTTATCAAGCTTGACCAGGTCCCTCTGGATGGCATCCCATCCCTCAGGTGTGTCAACCGCACTACTCAACTTGGTGTCATCTGCAAACTTGCAGAAGATCTAAATGACTGTGTGCATATGGCACACATAAGCATAGAACTCCAGTGGTCTCCATTCTGTGCCACACTATTTTCCTCTCTGTGTACCTATACCACAACTCTGGAAACACAAGCTTCGTTTTACATGGATGGTAAGCAGCACACTAGGTCAGATGATAAAGGATTTCTGCACTCAGAAAATACTTCTGCTTTATCTACTATCAACAGACGGCATGAAGCTCTGGAAAATTCTCTTGTTATTTCCTCACCAGCTATCAGACAGCCATGCAGGAGTAACGCTGCCTTTAGGACAAAGCAAAATGACCGAAACTCTCCCCTAGTTTTAGCAGGTGTTATCTGTTCTGTATTCTCCCTTGGTATTTCCCTGGGTGCATAACATGCACAGTACTGGGATAATAAAAGCACAAGAAGCACGCAAGTAGATTCCATATGTAAAACAGATATAATAAAGGTATTACACACAGTTTTAAATACTGATTTTATAGTGGGTTGATTTTCCACTGAAGATGGAGGAAATAAAGCCTGTTCAGCACATTCAGTGTAAAGGAAAGTGATGCCCAGTGAGCTGTGCACCAGAGTGGAGAATATAATTTAAAAAACAGATTTTTATTACATATTTTAGTGCCAAATTCTCGTGCTTCTGCTCCCTTCCACTATAAAGATTACATTGCAATTCACAGTCTGTATAAATATATATTAACAGCCCACCCCCTCTCCCCCATTTCTGGTATATACTTTCCTTCCTTCCTCTTTTTGTAGGTATGAGGTATCTCATTTACGTGCAGAACCGGTCAAGGCAGTTCCTAGGCCTCAAATGTATTTTTTACTGACAGCCACTCTGGTGGAATTATATTTACCCATGTTTTGGGTTGTTTTTCTTTGTTTGCTTGTTTTTGTAGAAGATAGCAAAAAGAAGAAAGAAAAAAAAGAAAGTATACTCTCCTGCAGGATCTGCTTTCTGTTTGCTGATCTGATCATAGTTCTCTTCAATTGCCATTAATAAACTGAACTTAGCAAGACGGATTAAAGGAAAGAGCAACACCAGTTTTTGTTGGTTTAAAGCATGAGGATCATAAATATAATGGCTTCAGAGGAAGGCAGCCTAGGGCTAAATTCTGGCTTAACTCTCCTGTGGGGTGCTGCAGACAAGATGAAAAGCAATGTCTCAACTGAAGGTCCCCAAGCCAATACAAAGCAGGATAGATGTGGGAAGGCATGGGAGCAATTTGCTCTGCAACACTCCTTGCTGCATTTCCAGAAAGAGACAATGTGTGCCCTTCTTTCGGAACCTAATGCTTATCACAGCTTGTGTGCATGCAGCAGAGAGGCCTGTCTGGATCCCCAAGCCAGCCGAACAGATTACAACACAATCCCCATATGAACTGTCAAAAGGTTTTCCTACTCTGCCGCTATCTTTTGTGAAGTAGGCAGAAAATGCTCCCAGCAAGAAGGACTTACCCTGTAGGAGAGTATTTCGAATCTTCCAAAAATCATAATGAAAATGTTTGTGCTTCCATCCAAGAATGGCATTGGCAGCAAATTGAAGGTAATTAAACACATTGCCCATTGGCCATACAAATTTCTTCTTTGTAATAATTTCAGAGAAACAAACCCCTCTTTATAAACCAGACATTGTGTTGTGCAACAGGAATTTTTCGGGCTAACTTCTACCCTGCTGTAAGTGCACTGCAATGGGAGTTACAGCCACTTTATGCCAAGACTGTGCTTTGTTCAGTATCTCTCAGATGCTCTGTAGTTCAGTTTCATTACCTCATGATTTCTAAGAATTGTCCTGCTTACTGGGAAAGTGACCAGACCAGTGAACTGGACTGTACAGTCAATAGTTTCTCTGTGTGCAAACAACAGAGAAACCACCTATTTATTATCACTACCTAATGCTTGATTTTATTTCTTATCTTTATATAACGAACATGGCCAAGTTCACACTGTTTATTTTAACTCACTTCCTGAAGGGGATAACTCCATCTGAATTTTTAACCAGATATTCACTCGCTGGCTCCAATCTCCTGGTGCTTCCACCTCCCACAGTCGCTTCTGCTCCTCGGGATAAGTCTGCAAGAATTTCTGGCAAACTGAATAGGAGAAACCAAGGGGTAAAAGCATGAATGAGTGAAAAGTGCAGTGAAAGAGGGAATGTATGCTATCCCGGAAATGCTCTCAGACCTACTTTCATTAGTTCCTTTGGAAATCTTTTCTTCTCTCTTCTCATCTTCCTTTTTTTTTCCTTTTAGCTGGGGCTTTTAGGAAAAGTCTACGTGGAATGACCTAAACAGGCACAAGTGAATCCTGTCTATCTGCTCCAGTTTAGCTTACTTCCTTGTAAGCGTAGAAATACAGGACTTGAAATGACTTACTGAGCCACCTTCTTCTGGCACTGCATCACAGAACTATCTCAAGACACTTAGCAGGTTTTAGACTAACAGCCGTGCAGGTTTTTTCACCCTCGCTACTCTGAAATGAAAGGTGTTTTGGTACTTTCCATTTAGAGTGCTATTGCGATTTCTATTTATAAACAAAACCTTGGTATCAGTTCATTCTTAGGCCAATACCACCCTCCATTTTACTACTGCTAGCCTACAATCCGTTGCTGGGGTTCATTTACTTCTTTGGGTGTGGAAAACAGGAAATAGGAAGAACTAACAGAAGAGTAAGAGGGGTGCCTGTGTCAGACGTACCATCACCTTTAAAAACCATATTCCCACAGACTCCTATCACTGTCAGTACACACTGAACATTAATATAATTTGGATAAACAATCAAATGTACTTCGCTTATGTTCTCAAACTGAAATCTGTCTTATTTAGAGGTTTCCTTAGGATGTCTGCAGAGCCAAGAGGAAGCATATGTTGTAGGACAAACAGTTCAAAAAATTTAAAGGGGATTTTTAAACTTTCCTTAACCACCATTTTATCAGTTCCAGCAACAGTACTAAGACAGTAAAATGTAAGCAACAAAATTATTTTCATGCTCTCCTCTGTCCATTGTAGTTCATCCTACTATAGAAAAGGTAATTTATCTTCAACTTTCAGTTGAGTTTAACAATGGGATGTCGAAACAAAAACCCTAAATCTGGTATGTAAACATTTGTGTTACAATAGTGAGCAGATCACTGTCATTGATTTTAACCAAGGATATCCAAACTAAATTAATCATTTCAATAAAAGCTATTGGAAGTAACATAACCAAAATAGAGATATCTGCTAAATGGCTTTTTACTTCCTTTTAGGCCTCTATAGCACATTAAACAACATGCAAGTGAAAACTGTGCACATTCAGTAGAGATGTAGAGTAGAAGGGCACATTCTTTTATCACAGTATAAGATTGTGGTCCCAATGAAATTAAAAACAGGCACTGACTTCAATATACTCAACATTTAACTTACAGTATTAGTATTTTTACAAAAGTAGGACCCAGAAAACCTAATGAGAACATGATACAAGTCAAATTTATTCACTATTAGCTCTAAACTTAATTGAGATGAAAGCATAGTCTTGCAATATATAGCTAGCGTGAACACATAAACTATGCAGCTTTATGATCCATAGTGTCTAAACCACTGATGCTTGCCACAGGGAAAATGGATATTATCGGGAGAAGAGAAAGAATGTTGTCAATACTATTCCTTCCTGAATTTAGAAGTAGCAGCACCTTAGAAACTCTTTGAGTTTATTTGTACACATTGGGGTATATTTGTATACGTTCAATGGCACATCCTGAACAAGCGAAAGAACAGATACAGCAAAAATTTTGTTGACACTTATTAGGAAATAGCTCTGAAGTCATAAGTCAATAGAAACATCTCCTGAAAAATGACAGTGAAGACTGTATACCATACAGACAGCAACTTTAGGAAAAAAAATATTTTCTAAAGAAAACAGTTTTATAAATAATGCGGGCACAGATATTTTCTGTAAATTCCACTAGCAAAACCAGAACTTCAGCCTGAACACGGAGAAGATATATAACTTCATAGTGATCTTTTAAAAGTGCCAAATGTTCAAAGACGGTCAATATGAAACAAGTACTAATGTAACTGGATGAATGAGCAGAGCCTACATATACAGCTTATTAAATCTAATTTCTTACAAATGCAGTATCTACAACAGCATTATGTGCATAGTGTAGGCCTAACATGATTCTTTTCCCTCTGGTGTCAAATAAAATGGGTAAGTCACTGTCTAGGGCAATGACATAGTTCTATTTCTAAGAGAGAGTGAGGTAAGAATGCAAAATGTCAAACAGGCAGTATGAGTTTTGTGCTTCTCACTGTCTTACAGCAAAATTGGCCTACCTTTCTACAGGAAATTCCAGATGTCTCAAGAAAAGTAACCAGTTGCATACTAACAACAGTTCAGTTCAGTACGCTTACACAGTTAAGAAAATCCTACCAAGACCATATTGAAATTTATACATTATACACGACCCTTACCTAACGTTCCCACATCAAACGATTTACCTTGATACATCGCAGCAGAAATAGGGCAGCTGATCCCCAAGGCATCCTCAGCCATGAAAGACTGACAGAAATCATGCAGCATTTTCATCCCTAGGCCACTTCTTCTGTACTTTCTCTGGACAAATATAGTATCCAAAACTGGCAGCAAGTAACATTGACTGGTTGTACCATCACATAGGCTCCCTGAAAGCAGACAGTAAAAAATACATGAACTTGAAAACAAAATTGGTATTGCTGCACTAACTGCTGTGTGATTCTAGCCACAAATACTTCCCTGATACCTTTCCACAGGCTATAAGGGTGACCCCAACTGAAGTGCATTTGAATAGACAGTAAAACACTTTCCAGGAGGAAGATTTGTGCCATCAAACTCAGAGGACCTGCTTAAGATGTGCTTGACAGGTCTCACCATAGTATTTTTCAGACTCCGATTCTTCATAATCGGACCATCTAGGTACACAGGCAACGTACATAGGAAAGTTCACTGAAAAGATATAACTGGGCTATAGCCAGAGAAGCATAAAGATTCTGAATGTAATCTCAGTACATTCCTTTAGCTTTTGGCTATTCTGGTAAATCACCCCACAAACTCTTTTTGTGAAATACACTGAACCACACAACACAGTAAGATCTAAATGCTCAGAAGGTCCATATTGCCTGATGCAGCTGGACAGTGGAGAAGGCTTCCAGAGAAAACTCCCAATACTATTTAAGATAACAATTTCAGAATGACTGCAGGGAGAGAAGTGAGGCACTCTTGGCCTCTGCATACATTGCTGCTGTGCCTTCGCAAATGGTATGATAATACTCTTAAGAATGAAACTTGACTGGCCCTGTCATTTGCACCTCCTTTCTGACTTTTACTGGTCAGAATGTTATACAATCCTTTTACTGCATATTCAGTCTTTGATCTCCTAGTTCAGTAAATTCCATAGACAACTGTAAAAAAGAATATTTCTGTCTTTCAGTTATCTGTCAACACATACCCAGGAGTCATCTTCAAACCTTTGTTGGTAAGAGCAGAGAACCACACAAAAAGTGGTGGGGTTGCTCCACCTGAAACTGGAAACAGACCCCTAACTGCTTACGCTCACAGTGACTCTGGGCCAGAGGAAGGGAAGTCCATCACTTGCCTCCTTCAGAAAACAGAGCAGAAGCTGGGCAGCCCCAACAACCCAACACATTTGGGAGGCAAATGACTACCCAAAGATGAAGAACTATGTCTGAGAAGGCACCAAGTAGAATCCAAGCAATAACTAAACTCACAGCATCAGGTTAGGTTCAACCTTACAATGCAACACACACAAGTCACACCTCTGTAGGAAGATGAGTATAGACATTAATTAAGGCATTTGGGTATAAAGCCATAAACAACTGAATGGTGCATTTTAAGAAAGTACTTACGTACTCCTCTGTAAGTCACTCGACTTCCATGGAGTGGTAACTGATCACACATATATGTGCTTCTAGTCCACCACTTGAACTACTATGATCAGTGTTAAACTAGGGTTTTCACTCAAGGATGGTGTTGCTGGCAACAAAGAACCATGCGGCCATTCGCTCACTCCCTCCCATGGAGCATGAGGGGCGAATTGGAAGAAAAAGGCAAAACTCATAGGTTGAGATAACCTTTTTCCAATCCCCTTGGCAATGCCCCCTTCCCTAGGCAGGGATCCCAGCTGCTTGGCTTCCCTACTCTCTAATTCCAGACTGCTGGCCTGGTATCCTGGCATTGAAGCAGCCAGGTGACAATGTGCTTGCCTGGATAAGGCAAAACTCATAGGTTGAGATAAAGGGGGTTTAACAGAACAGCAAAGGGAAGGCGCAAACAACAACAAGACTAATAAAGGAATACACAAAATATGATCAATGTACAACCGCTCACTGACTGGAGCCCGGAAAGCCCAGCCCACTCCCGATTGGCGATTCCTGCCTCCCTCGGCCCACTGCCCAGCTCTACACTGAGCATGACAGTCACATGGTATTGAACACCCCTTTGGCTAGTTTGGGTCAGCCATCCCCACTGTGTCCCATCCCCTACTGATATAATTGGCCGAGTATAACATCTGCATATTCTGTATTGGTATCGGGATCGATATATGTTCTTTAGTGTTATTAAGAAAGTACGGTAAGTACTCCTCTGTAAGTCACTCGACTTCCATGGAGTGGTAACTGATCACACATATATGTGCTTCTAGTCCACCACTTGAACTACTATGATCAGTGTTAAACTAGGGTTTTCACTCAAGGATGGTGTTGCTGGCAACAAAGAACCATGCGGCCATTCGCTCACTCCCTCCCATGGAGCATGAGGGGCGAATTGGAAGAAAAAGGCAAAACTCATAGGTTGAGATAACCTTTTTCCAATCCCCTTGGCAATGCCCCCTTCCCTAGGCAGGGATCCCAGCTGCTTGGCTTCCCTACTCTCTAATTCCAGACTGCTGGCCTGGTATCCTGGCATTGAAGCAGCCAGGTGACAATGTGCTTGCCTGGATAGCAGCTGGAATCTTTTTGCATATCTCGCAGCTCACTCAGGGATAGGGATCGGGTGATTATCTCTGGCTCTGCCTCTTCCTCCTGTTCTTGTGATGGCCCTGGTTCATCATCATCCCTTACTAAGCAAACTGATTTCTTCTTCTGTATAGGGGCGACTGATATCAGCATGGGTTGGTTTTCTGGTTCAGCTGCAGCGCCCGTCACAGAGGTTGGAGTAGCAGTAGTGCCCGTCGGTCCATTTTCCCTCTCTTGCACCTGAGGCTGCTGCATAATGTCAAGCAGTGTTTAGTAGACACCGGCCAGGGCCCAGCAGTGCAGTGAGTTGTGTCTCTCTGGAATAACCACAGCATTTTCTTTTCAAATATTCTATCATTTCATCAGGGTGCTGTAGTTGTTCAGGACTGAACTTTCAAAACACTGGAGGTGAGAAGTTCTCTAGATACCTGCCCATATTCTCCCACATGCCATGCCACCCATGACTATCCAGCCTCGGGGCAGATCTCTGGGTGGTATTCTTAAATAGTTGTTTAAACCTAAACAAGACCTGAAAAACATTCAGGAGACATAGCAATAGGGACATACTGGTTTAAACATCCCAAGGATATTCAAAATTCCTAAAGGCGGTTGTACCTGGCCCAAAGGAGAAAAGGGAGGCAAAAGAGCTGTGGAAAGCACACACCCCCACACCCCCCATTTCCCCCACAGATTGGGTGCAAATATTAATAAATTCCAACAGATATCACCCAAGGTACAGGCAGGACAGCAGTGCCACATAAATGTACCAACATAACCACATGAACAGTGTTGTTATCATATCGTAAGTTGATATTACACAGGACAGCAAAATGATAATCCTGATCCCTCTCTCAGAGGTGATAAACAGCATCGCAGGGAGTACATAGTGCATACGAGAATTTACATAACACAACCATGCAAACAAACAAAGCAACATTGTGACCAGCAACTATTTAACTAATACAATAAACTCATATAACAAATTCATTTTAACATGTCCTGGGCAGATCTGTCATTATCTCAACCCTTCACACCCCATGTTGGGTGCCAAAAAGGACTGTCGTGGTTTAGCTCCAGCCAGCAACAAAGAACCACGTGGTTGTTTGCTCACACACCCCTCTCTGGTGGGATGGGGGGAGAGTTGGAAGAAAAAGGCAGAACTCACGGATTGAGATAAAAGCAGTTTAACAGAACGGCAAAGGAAAGGGAAAAACAACAACAACAATAAGACTGATAAAGGAATATACAAAACATGACTAACATACAGCCACTCACTGACCAGAACCTGGAAAGCCCAGCCCACTCCCAAGCTGCAATTCCAGCCCACTCCCCATCCAGCTCCCCCAGCTATATACTGAGTATTGAATACTGCTTTGGGTAGTTTGGGCCAGCCATCCCAGCTGTGTCTCGTCCCAGCTTCTTGTGAAAATTAACCCTATCCCCACCAGTACCAGGACAGATGGCTCATTAAGCCAGTCACCTGAAATCATGGGGACATGATATAATGCTCTACACGTGGACAAAATACAGACTCAAGTATAAGCCTCCAAACTATTAAAACTCAGCTGTTAGTGAAAACTGTCAAAAAAAATTAGAACCAAGGGATTTATATTGCAATCATGTATGGCAAACTTAAACTGGAGTCAAGAGAAAGTTGATTAAGAACAGATATTCAGGGGCCAAAATTTTAACGTTCGTCCTAAACAACTTATGGTCCTATTGCAGGAGGTTCATTAGCAATTCACTGCACAACTTCCACTCAGTGCAGAATACCATAAAAACAGAACCTCAAACTATTTGACAGCATAAGCATTCAACCCTGAAATGAATGACCAACATCAGTTCACCAACTACCTACACATAGGATAAGGTCACCATAGAAACATCTCATTGATTTATTTTTACTTTTAGACAATATTTATAAAGATTTTATGCTGCTTCTATCTGAGTGCATGGCAGTTTAAATAGAAATAGATATCCAGGCATTTATACCAGAAAAAGATTACATTTTCTTATTTTGTTGCTTAAATCTCACCAAGACCTTCTCAGTTTTCTTTCTTACTGCTTACTAGTGTACCACTCAGTCTAGTTTTCAGTGTCTTGAGACATGAAACTTTCCCCCCTTCACTCAGACGTATTTCACAGATCTCCTATTGAATGGCTGTTCCTAAATTCCAGTATAAGACTTCTACTTAATAAATCCACTTTTTCTTTATCACATCCCCATAGCTATCTTAAACTGAGCTCTACTTCTGTTCCTTGATTTGGGTCTAGTACCTTTTGCTGGTAGTCACCAGGCCTGACTTTGATTACTCACTTTTCTAGGATGCCAATTCAGCGAAGCATACATGACTATAATTCCAGACCCTGATTTGTCAAGGCTGTAGCTCTCCATTTAGCAAGAACCCACATCACACATACTCAGCCGTACAAGAATATGTAGCTACATAATCACTCAATTCACATCCAGGGTTGGTCCACCCCTGCTTAATCAAAGTGCATGCTTAACTTCAAACACATGTTCAAGCACATTGTTGGAAAAAGATGGTTTGTGGTGGTGCTTATAACCTTTCAATATTTGTAACACATGATGGGTAGTTACTCTTTTTTTTTAGGAGCCAAAAAATTGAGTATATCGCCAGTCCCATTGTTAGCTGCCAGCCCAACAGAGATGTTGGATTCCAGCAGTGTTGCACCATACATTCTAAGAAAGGGATAAACTTTTCCTCATTAAGTCAATAGCTTTAAGAACTCCTGCATGTTGCAAGTGTCCTTATAGGTTTATTATTATCTCATATAGTCTGTCTCCTATAAATCCTGATGAGACTGCTGTGCAGCAATCCCAGGAGCTGAGTGATTTATGTCTGTGCTCCTAATTTTGTGTTGAGAAGATGACAAAAACTTGTAATGTCTAAAGGCAGTGTAAATAAAGAAACCATGAAGCCATTCTTCACCTTGTCCCTGGGAAACATGTTAGAAGAGTCATAGCCCACAGCCATTTGAAATAAAATAAACAAACAAACCAAACTTTGGAACAAAGGCCACTTTGTCTCTAGTTCCCATCCAATAGCAAAGAGGTTACCGTAAACTAATGGTGGCCCAGAGGTGACCACTAGGCTCTTACACATTTGGTTCAGAGGTTTATTTCATTGTTCAAACACACAAACAGACTAAGTTTTGAGGTGAGAGAAGAGACGGGGAAAATAAGAGCACTGGCGATGGACGTGGAAGTATTCATACAGTCTGCCTTTTGAAAGCCTTTGATCTGTTTGGTTAGGTCACGAGTGCCAAATGACCAACTTATGAGCCAGCAAAATGGTAAACAGATATTACAAGGGCAGGAAAGCAGACAGCCATTAGCATTCCCAAAGAGCCACAAACCAGAAAAAAAAACAACCCAGTCCCCACATCCAAC